TCCCTTCCCTTCCCTTCCCTTCCCTTCTCTCTCTGCCAGGTGGTGGGGGTGGTGGTAGTGTGATGCTGGGGATTGAACCTAGAGCCTTGCACATCTAGGTCATCTACTAAGCCACATCCCCAGTCCTCACACTGCCCCTTCTAACTTTGGCTTTCACTCCACTTTGTTCTTCTCAAAAGGACAAGATGTCTTGACTATGTGACCTTGAGTAAGTCACTTGCGGTCTCTTGAGATTCAGTGGCCTCATGTATAAAATGGGCACTATTCTTCTCTACGGAACTGGGGACACGAGAGATGGTAACTTTCAGGAAGGGTCTGCTCCGGTGTGGACATAGTGGAGAACTGCCTGTCTCCCTCCTCTGCTTTGCTGCTCTCTCTGGTCAGTCTTTGGATCCTCCTTGGGAGTTCTGCCTGCCCCCTACCAGCACCGCACCCGGCCCAGCCATCCAGTGGATAGCATTATCTCTGTGCAACTCTGGGCTGTGAAGCCTGCTTAGCCTAATGCAAGCCAGATGCTGGCCTTGGGTTTCCTGGCTGTGAATTTTCCATGGCCTGCTCCCACCCCCTTCCTGTTTTTGCTCTTTGCTCATCCCCCTGCTAAATTCTCCAGTGCCCCCACCTTCCTCTGAAGGGCAACTGGGGCCTCACCTGGAAACCATTAACAGAAAACAGGATGTGTGGAAAGGGGGACAATCTCTCACCACCCTGACCTGACCTGGCTTGGAAGGGTACAAAAAGCATGGGGGGATGGCCCCTCAGTGGAGAAACTGAGTCAGAAGTGAAGGGGACCCGGACAAAGAAACATGCTAACTTTCTGCAAATTTAGACACAGCTTGGAAAGGATGGGATCTGTGAGGACCTTGTGACTTAGGATAATCAGAGCCAGAAAAAGGCTCGCTCTCCTCTTGCAAATGGGGAAACTGAGGCTCCAAGATTCATCCAAGGTCACTGATGAGTGGGCCTCGAGAGGCAGCTGGGAATGGGCCAGCTGGCAGTTAAAAGCTGTTGCCCAGAGTCTCTGTGGGGCATGCTGTCTCAGAGTCATCCTTACCCGCCCTCCCCCTGCTGTCTGAAGCTGAGCACTGAGGCCGCCCGGGTCCCAAGGGGAGGCTCCCAAGGCTTGTGCTCTAGAGCTAAGTAGCTTCGCACACCTGGCCCGCCTGGCCTGGCGAGCTCTGAGGTAGAGCCTCCTCTGGCAAGGACTGGTGTTCCACAGGGTGGCCTTGGGCACAAACAAGCCTGTGAAGGGGACATCTTCCTTTGTCATCCTTGCCCTGGGAGCCTCTCTGGGCAGCCCCAGCTTGACCCTTCTTCCACCCCAGAGCAGGGTCTCCCACATTTTCATGAAAACAACAGTCCAAGGGCTCCTGAAGGCAGCCTCTGGCTGCCCCTCCCTCCACCAGCTGTGCAGTGTTGGACAACTGGATGGAATGTTCTACAGCCAGAATTCTCCCTGGTTCCTTGAGCTCAGATTTCACCAGGGAGAGAGGGGAGGATGCTGGCTTCAGTGAGAGGGAAGAGACTGAGGAGTTTAAACTTGGGCCAGGACACCTCACTCCCTGTGCCCCCAGGCTTAACTGAGACCACTGCCTGCAGACCCAGCTCCACAGGAGTTTGGAGTCCAGCCAGGATCCTAGGGAAAGGCCGGCCAGAGGGTGGAGATAGCTGTGTGGTATCAGAGAATTGGTCAGGCCAGTGTGGTGAAGTCAGGCCCTGGGGACAGCCCAGGCTCAGGCAGGGCTGGGGCGAAG